TAATATATATATATATATATATATATATATATATATATATATAAGTATAAAGTCCTGAGTTCCAAACTTTTCAGATTTTTCCAACAGACTCAATAGTGATTGAAGGCACTTTATGTATTCATGAACCTGATATTCAGTTGTTATCCCTTTAGCTCACTTAGTAGAGCACAAGCCTATGTGTGATAGATCTTGGATTTCACTCCAAGGAGAGGTAGTTTTGACAACATGGAGAGAGACTTTCTATGCCAGGAAAAACTAACTAACCTGGCCCCAAACAGTGGTTCTTATGCTATATCTTCTTAGTATCTTTATGACTTTCAAAATAGTGTACACATCTACCTGCAAGTAGGTCTGACACTTAATTGGTTGATTTTTGCAAACTCTTCCTGATTCTTAGAACCAAAACAAAAATACTTTGACGATTAGTTATAGCTGGAGACAGTAAATTGGCTGCCTACTTGCTTGTATCTCTCCTTTTATTTTTGATATGGATTCTACATCAAAGTTTTGATTAATCCTCTTTTTTAGAAACTGTGTGCGAGTTAATATAAACTTTTCTTGTAGCTTTCTCTATGCTATGGTGGTGTCAGTCTATAGATAATGAGGCTTATATAAACATTCTCATGGCTATGATAGCTTTGGCATATAGAAATTATAGACATCTATTTCTATAATGTATCTTTAGTTTACACTTAGCATACTTTTCCTTTTACCCTCAACAGTTGGGTTTGTCATTTGATCCAGTTGGCATTTCCTTCTTGTCCCCTTCCCACTACTTTGTTCTATGTTACTTTTCATGTAATCCGACACCTCACCTTTTGCCTTGCTTCTCATCTTTGTTGGCTTTTAGAGGAAATTCTACAATCGGGCATGTGAACCAACCCAAACATGTTCATCTCCCATTATTTACATCATATCGTGGTTTTGGATTCCTCGGGTTTTTGCCTTTCATCTGTGGCTGTACTTCAGACTTCGGTGCAACTTTAACACTGGGCAAGTATTTATCAATACCTTCTTTTCATTCAGGGGCCCATTCTTCATACCTTTATTACATGGATCCCACTCTGTGGCGAGTGGTGCCTGACCAGGTATTCTTTAACTCTAACTCCACACTGTACACCATGTAGAGTAGCACTTTCCTTTCTATGGCTTTGCACGCTCACATTTGAGATGGAGTGTTTCACAATATTGCTTGTAAGTGAATAACCTTGCAATATTTGCTTTATAAATAGGCTCATCCCAGACCATACCATCTATGGACTTCATGGGTAAAGCAGAAGGGCATAGCTGCTCATCCCTGCCATGCCTCAAATGAATAAATTGGTATGGTCTGCTTTTCAAAATAGATTTTCAGGATCAGCCATTGCACTGTCTTGGGTGTCAATATTCTTCCAGGCTATCCAACAAATTATCAGCCCCTCTTTTCTTCTAGTAAAGTATGGTAGTCCTTACCACTTACCAGTTCCAAGCCACCGGGGTGGTCAATCATGGAGGCACCCTTCTGCATTGATTCCACATAAGATGGCTATAACCATTCAGTTCAGAGTAGGGCAGTGGTGTTATGCCAGTGTAGATGTTGTAATAACCTTCAATTGCAATTAACCATACAACAGAATGAGATGTCAAAAGTGCAGTTTACTCCTTCAATTGGGAGCCCTCATCCTTCTCTTGTGTGGATGTTGGTACCCTGTGGGCCGGTTTTGGATTTCAAGTGAACCAATCAACATAAGTCCTCACACAGGTTTAGGGTTGTCTATCTTCCTCCCTCGATTTCCTCCTTCTGTGTTATGGGTCACAGCAGGGATACATGGGATTATTCCAGTTCTATCTTTGGCTCTCCCTCATTCTCTCTTATTACGGGATGTTAGTGCCCTTTGGATGGTCCCAACTTGTTTCATGGTCGCGGGAGTTGATTACATATGACTTCCTTTTGACACTACATGTCAAATTTCCGGATCTATAGCTCAGAGCTAATCCTGTGTAATACCCAGGAATCAGAGTGGTTCTTAATTCCCTGGTTCTTGGGTTTGAGGTGAAAGTAGTATGATCCACATTCTATCCTCATGCAGATGTCAGTACCCTGCGAGGAGGTTTTGGATGTAGTTGATTTATCAGATATGGTCCGCCTCACTTTAGCCACTCTACACCATGAAATGCATCCTTGTTTACCCACGTTTCTTAATGCTCCAATGGGATTGAGTTACAATATCTTTCTCTGGCTAGGATCACTTTTCTACTGCTTATTTGCCACCATGATTTTTTTACACATTTCACCTATTGGTGAGGACTATACCAGGATCAGAAGTGGTGCGGTTCCCCTCTTCGGATCTGACTCTCTCATCCACAGAGGTATCCTTCGGATGCTTTTGGGGTGTACATATGTTCGTCCCTCCTCCTAATCAGTGTGGGATTCTAGATAATCTTGTCAGTGGAAGGAAGTACCGTATCAGAAGTTATAATTTTCCTATACAGAAAATGTATTTTCGATAGATACTTCCTTCTTCTCACACTTCCCACCCTTCCTCCCCACTTACTTCCGGTGCTTCTGTTGACTGCCAAACTTTGATGTGATAGTTTGGTAGAGGTGCACAAAGGGAGTCACATGTGTCATGTGAGTGTACTATTCTAATATTATTGGAGAAGTGACACATGATGATTTGCATGAGAGACACGTTGGAATCATTTAATTCCACTAGGTGGGTGCGGAAGGCATGTAGCATGCATAGTAAAAATGTTTGCATATAGAAGGCAGCAATGAATGCGAATGACTAATCTTGTGAGCGGAGGGAAGTATCTATGGGAAATATATTTTCAGTATAGGAAAATTATAACATCTGATATTTGACCACATATATAATCCTGAGAAAAACAGTGTGTGGTCCTGGTACTTTATAAATTTCTAATCTCTCAATTATTTTTCTTATCTTTAATGGATCAGTATCTACATACAGAATTATAAGGGTCAGTAATATTGCTAATATCCTCTCTTGTATAAATGTTGAATAATTTAGAACCTTAGCTGTCTCCAATTTTCTAATAAAAACCTAGCCATCAGTATCATCCTGTAAATGTTCATTTGCCTTTTTAACATTTTGCTTTCTTTTAACATACTTAAGCCCCCCAGTGATACAGCAGTATGTCTGCGGACTAACAACGCTAGAAACTTGGTTTCGATACCCATGGTGGGCAGAGCACAGATAGTCCATTGTGTAGCTTTGTGCTTAACTACAAACAAACAAACAAATTAATATACTTAAATCCTTGCTAATAGTTTTTAACATCTCAATCAGCAGATTCTCATAAGCCACTTTTTATTTCCTAATTTGTAGTTTAACCAACTGTCTAGATTTCATATAGTTCAGTAAATCTACTCTCTATATATTTGAACTTAAGTATCTTTGTCCAGTTTTCTCCTTTACTTGTTTAGTAATTTAATTAACTTTTATCTTAAATAAAAAAAAATGTTTTAAATATTTCTTGAAATTTGTTCAATATTTCCAATTAACTCCTTAACCTAGTTCTGATGATTAGTCTAAGATGTAAAATATTTAGGATTTATCATTTCTTGGAACAAGTATTATGGTGTGGAAAGAAACTTTTGAAACCATATGGAAGCTTATGTTTACTTTTTTATCATATTGAAATAAATACATTTATCCATAAAGATAATGTACATAAGATGTATGAGCACTTAAAATCAACTGAGAAAATACATGTAAGTTTCCAATAAAATTCTAAATTGTAACTTTGACTAAGAAACTTATTAGCATATACATAAAAACTTTATACATGTTTGTGTGTACATGTGTATTGACAGTTTCAATTAACATAAGATGTGTGTATATGTGTGTGTGTGGCAAACGGAGGTTAAATGTGATAGATGGTGTATCCCCACTGCCATATGGGTTCTACTTCTGCAGTCACCTCCAAAACCCAGGGCACATTTTATATCCCACACTATAGTCTGTGCCCTGGGGATCCTCTTGATTTGTGTATCATCTTTGATGATTTTTGTTTGGGCTTGTTTTTGATCATTTGGATGTCATTTATTACAGGTTTGGATTTGTTGTTTTTAACGCAGCCCTTCCTTTTGATTTTGTATTGCTTGACTTTTTCAGTATTAATTTTCTCTCTCTCTCTCTATATATATATATACATACATACATATACACATGTATGTACAAATCACTTAAAATAGCTGATAAAACTGTTTCGGGTCACTTAGGTCACAGTTCAACCTTGTATAATTTCAAAACAGACATCTATATGCTTAGCATTACTTAGCACATACATGTATCAGTAACAAGATTTTTTGATGATGTTCTTAACGACAGGAGTATTTACAGAGTCAACTGCTCATAATAAATGTCATAAATGCAAACATTGTAATCTAGTTTGAAATGTAACATGTGTCTATGGCTAGTAATATTGAATTTTTTGTATTTGCTAAACATTTATACACATACATTAACGAAAGCCCAGTTTTTCTTGCATTCCCTATCACTGACAAACTTAATGAGACCAATACATACCAATGAGTGGAATTTGCTAATCAATTAAACATGATTATTGGGCTCATTATTCGATTATTCTCACATGAGACTTGCATAAATGGAATGATCTAACATATAGTAACAATTAGAAACATGAATTTCAATTAGGTGACTATTTTTATGAGTTGTGACACTAATAAAGTAAGCTGAACAAACTTGAATTAATTTTGGTTAATTGATTGTTTTTGTGATATTAATCAGTTTAATTGTAATTTTGATTAATATGTTATTTTACATGACACTAATCAAGGTAATTGATGCATATATGTAATTGATTATCTCCACTGATTGAATTAATGGCCCAGATTTATCTTCAGGTCACTCAGTTAACAAAAAAAAAATATAACCTCAATAATGTACTGTTTGTATTGGTAAAATAAAAATAGAAATTTCTGGTTACCTTACACCAGTTTGAAAGGTGTTTCCATTCAGCATTTCATACAAAGACGGCACAGTCAGTGTACTACTATTTTGAGATTTATTTTTCCAGTGATCTCAGTTATTAATGCCACATGTGCAAGGGAATTTAAATTTTTTAAACCTATCTGATACATAGCAAATTCTTGATAAGTTGATTAAAAAAATCATGAGTTTAGAATACTCATGTATTAGTGCATTGTATATATTTGTCTGTGTGTGGATATCAGTCTGTGTATATATATATATATATATATACACACACACAGTAATGTTAGAATTAATTTACGAACCTTAGCTTGTCTCCTAATTTTACTAAACTAAAAACCTAG